AGCCAGTATATAAATGGCTACCTCACTCTTTTCAGTTAGTATGACTTTGTAAACGGTCCAGGTTGGACCGAAATGTTGTCGTAAGCTCCTCTCTCTCCTACATGCGGGTTATTTGTGCATTGTTCCAGTCATGGTATTATGCCTTTTTGTTCTTTAAACACCATAATTTTTAATAAATTTATTTATATTTCTTATATCAATACACACAATTCATTCACTTATCTAATCTAGTTAGAATATGTTTGGCATTTCACTACTGGTAAATACAACACTACAAACACTGAACGTGTTCACTAGTAATTAAATTACGAGGCTTTGGGGGATAACCTTTCTCCTAGTTTATCCCCACATTTCATTACACTAACCAAGTGCCTCATCTTAACTCGATACGCAGATCCTCATATAACATAAATTGGATAATACCATTGTAATGTAGTGATTAACCATTGTGACATCAATACCAACAACCCCACTTTCCCGATTCTCAAGAACTCAGTACCTTTCAAGGTGGGTGCCTTGATAGTGGTGAAGGGCTCTTTGTTACAAGGAGATACCCTTCCTTCCACAGATCCAACCTGATTGCCTTCCATTCCCAGGTGCTGTATGACCCATACGTGTTCAGCATTTCTCCATGAAGACAATACATGTACTCTACAGTAGTAGTAATCAAGGCTCATTTTTGTGACAACCTGTTACAAGTTGATATCAGATACATCACAAGAACACTGTATAAGCCTTTAAAGGGAAACTATGACACATCATTACTTCTGCCAGGTGCCAAATCAACCATATTATGATGATATGTGGGCCAGCAGCCTACTTATAGCACCAGCCTTAATAAATAGACCATCAAAAGGAAAGCTTGGCCTTAGGCAGGGTTGCAAGGGTAGAAATACTCTTGAAGTCAGTCACAGCCTCTAATGTAACATTTTACTGTGGCAACGTTTCGCTCTCCAGCAGCTCTGTCAAGCCACGACAACTTGACAAAGCTCCTGGAGAGCGAAACGTTGTCACAATAAAATGTAGCATTAGTTGCACTTGTGTCCTTTTACCTACCGTGTTGTCAGTAGTTCTACCTACGCTAATACAGTCACAGCCTTGTTAGAATACACTACAATTTAACAATATCATGAAGGTAACAAAATAGAGATGGAGTCGAGTGTATGTCCCAGTTTTTATGAAATGTGTGTACTTACCAAGTATTGACAACAGCTCGAGTTAAGGTACCAAACAGCACAATGTTAGCAATGTTGACAAACTTACCTATCACATTACTACACAGCACGTACACATGCAAATATTCGGACAACTTTACTGTACAGTACTTACATTATAATGAAATATCTTACCTTTTAATATTACTACACAACATATGTGCTGATGTCTTAAAAAAAAAAAGTGCCCATATAAATATTTGGACAGTTTTTACTGTACTTACACTATAATGAAATACTTAACGGTAAAGAAAATGTGACAGTAATGTATGCATATTAGGAAAAACTCAAACCAGAAAAAATTGGCAGCATGGCACATTGTAATAAATGTGAATACAAAAGCCATTCTGCCAACAGAAATGAAGAAAAAGAAGAAGTGAATAATGCTTGTGATAATGTTTAACCGTGGTAACAACACATTACTATAAAGGATTGCTATGTGCCTGTGTCCTTTCTTCAAGCTATGGGTGCAACATGACAAGACAATAATACCTGCACTAGCAGCTTGAGGGATAGGTTATCAATGAGATCGCCACCTGATGCATCTCATGTGCCAGATACAATATTTGACATACTCAGAACACCTCATTTTGTTCCACTGGAATTGCTAATAACATCTTTTCCTTATTATTATTAACTCATTGCCCGATTCCCACCAAGGCAGGGTGGCCCCAAAAAAAAGAAAAACTTTCATCATCATTCACTCCATCACTGTCTTGCCAGAGGGATGCTTTACACTACAGTTATAAAACTGCAACATTAACACCCCTCCTTCGGAGTGTAGACACTGTACTTCCCATCTCCAGGACTCAAGTCTGGCCTGCCGGTTTCCCTGAATCCCTTCATAAATGTTACTTTGCTCACACTCTAACAGCACGTCAAGTATTAAAAACCATTTGTCTCCATTCACTCCTATCAAATACGCTCATGCACGCTTGCTGGAAGTCCAAGCCCCTTGCACACAAAACCTCCTTTACCCCCTCCCTCCAACCTTTCCTAGGCGTCCCTACCCTGCCTTCCCTCCACTACAGATTTATACACTCTCAAAGTTTTTCTGTTTTGTTCCATTCTCTCTACATCTCCGAACCACCTCAACAACCCCTCCTCATCCCTCTGGATAATATTTTTGGTAATCCCACACCTCCTAATTTCCGACATGACATCTCCACTGCCTCCAGCCTTCTCCTTGCTGCAACATTCATCACCCATGCTTCACACCCATACAAGAGTGCTGGTACAACTATACTCTCATACATTCCCCTTTTTGCTTCCACGGACAAAGTTCTTTGTCTCCACAGACTCCTAAGTGCACCACTTACCTTTTTCCCCTCATCAATTCTGTGATTCACCTCATCCTTCATAGACCCATCTGCTGACACATCTACTCCTAAATATCTGAATACATTCACCTCCTCCATACTCTCTCCCTCCAATCTGATATCCAGTCTTTCATCACCTAATCTTTATGTTATCCTCATAACCTTACTCTTTCCTATATTCACTTTTAATTTTCTTCTTTTACATACCCTACCAAATTCATCTACCAACCTCTGCAACTTCTCTTCAGAATCTCCCAAAAGCACCGTGTCATCAGCAAAGAGCAGCTGTGACAACTCCCACTTTGTGTTTGATTCTTTAACTTTTAACTCCACACCTCTTGCCAAGACCCTAGCATTCACTTCTCTTACAACCCCATCTATAAATATACTGAACAACCACGGTGACATCACACATCCTTGTCTAAGGCCTACTTTTACTGGGAAATATCTCCCTCTCTCCTACATACTCTAACCTGAGCCTCACTATCCTCATAAAAACTCTTCACTGCTTTCAGTAACCTACCTCCTATACCATACACCTGCAACATCTGCCACATTGCCTCTCTATCCACCCTGTCATATGCCTTTTCTAAATCCATAAATACCACAAAAACCTCTTTATCCTTATCTAAATACTGTTCACCTATATGTTTCACTGTAAACACTTGGTCTATACACCCCCTACCTTTCCTAAAGCCTCCTTGTTCATCTATCCTACTCTCTGTCTTACTCTTAATTCTTTCAATAATAACTCGACTCAACAGATTTATTCCCCTATAATTTTTGCACTCTCTTTTATCCCCTTTGCCTTTATACAAAGGAACTATGCATGCTCTCTGCCAATCCCTAGGTACCTTACCCTCTTCCATGCATTTATTAAATAATAGCACCAACCACTGCAAAACTATATCCCCTCCTGCTTTTAACATTTCTATCTTTATCTATCCCTGTTCCACTGGAATTGCTAATTACATCTTTTCCTGTATCTCTACTAAACCTATAGGTCTAAAACTTTTATAATATCCGAGAGCTTCAATATGTATCATCTGATTGAGAAATCAATTTGCCAAATCAGTCAGTCTCCTGTGTGGTACGCAGGCTCTTCACAGCTTTAAGTCAGAAAAACTTTATTTGCACTACACTGCTTTTATTTTCCTTTTAACCCTTTCAGGGTCGACAGGCCCTCTCAGAGACTTGTTCTCAGGGTCGGCAAAATTTTAAAAAAAAAAAAAATATTTTTTCTTATGAAAAGATAGAGAATCTTTTCCCGATAATAATGACACCAAATGTATGAAATTTGATGGAAAACTTACGAAATTATGCTCTTGCGAAGTTAGCAGTCTCGACGTTTACGCATCGGCAATTTTGCCCACTTTGAGCCCTATTTTCGGCCAATTCAGTGTACTTGCCGACAAAAATCATAACTATTTCGCTAGAACTCCATTTTGTCTATCGAATGAGTACAAGAAACCACCCATTTACCGATTTCAACTATCCAATACAGTGGTCAGAATTTAGCAATTTTGCTAATTTCACACAAAATTCAAAAGATGCCAATTTCCGAATAGGGTCCCGAATAAACAAGAAAGACATTCTTGGCACTAAAATAACATTTCCTCTGTTCATTAGTCACATCCCCATGCCCCTCTTACATTGTTTTGCTTTCCACTTTGAATTTTTGTTCTCACAAAAAAATAGAAGATTTACTGTTATGTAGACTACTGCCTTGGTGTAGAAATGGTATAAATAATATCAGCACTCTTGTGAAAGAACATTAGACTCACCAGTTGACGTGTACTGGACGCACAGCATGATTTGTTTACTTTAGAACTTTGGTAAAAATCAAACATTTCTGCTACTTTAAACTCAATTTCAAGGTACTTTTCTTTGTAAAACCAGTCAAAATCATCTCAATTTCTGTACTATGTCTTCCATTCTATAAAATGAGACCAGGAAAACTAGAATACAACAATAAATACCATACGAAAATGCAGTGCAAAGTCACTGTTTTAATCCAAAAACACGGTCAACGTTTTTTTTTTCTCATTACGCACTGTGTGCTGCAGGATTTTTTTTATACAGCGCACACTGACCACATAGACCCATTCTTTCATATGTAGGCCTACCAGCTTTCTCTCACTAGATTTGAGGGCGCTAGAATTTAGGTGTACTAGTACGTCAAAAACCCTGGCTCGTAAGCCGTACTAGTACAGCCGAAACCCTGAAAGGGTTAATTCATAATATGACTTCATTTTACTCATCATTTACATAAATTCAATCTTGTTACTGCTAAGGACATAAGCTCTGCCTTCTTGAAAAGTTTGACATAACTGTTCCACCTAGTTTAAATGGAAATTAAATACATACTAATACACAGTCAGATCTATTTCCAACTAAATTTCTATTATATTTTCTGAACAGGATAAAATTAATCACAAAAAATTAAGATAAAAGATATGCCACTTACCTGCTAGTCTGCCATCAAAATCAGCTTTCTGGATGACATTGAAGCCAGGGTGGGGCATCAAGTAGCAGTTGATATCTCGGAAACATTTGCGGAGATCACGCCGAACCTCTTGATGAGCTGGATGTTGTTTTTCTGTTACCTAATGCACACAAAACAAGAGAACCTGATTAATTAAACAAAATTATATGACCTTACAATACAATATCTCTAAATTTTATTAATTCCAGTAGTCAAAAACAACTGTTCAATTCATATTTACTAAATTAATGTTAATGTCTACTAACAATGCAGATGAATCCTTGACTTTGCCCTGATGTATGTCTTTGGGAAACATATTAAAATATTATGCATACTTCATTCAAGTCAATTAACAAATAGATAGCTATTCATACTACTTTACATTTACACTGTATATTTTTGAGTGTCTTGATATGAAATACAGTACTGTATGGATGACAATATAACTTTTTCAGGATTGGTTCATGTTACACTTCACAATGGAGGCAGAGCACCAGTGCACTACCTCACAGTTAACAATATTCAAATAAATTTTTCTTTGCACATTCCCAAGGGCAACAAAAAACAATTACATTTTTAAATCAAGGAGGCAGTTCAAACAGTTCGTATACTATGCCTGAATTTGCAATTACTACAGTAAAACCTCAAATTAATGGACTCCTAATTTAATGATTTTATTACAAATTTTTTTAACTGGACAACATTCAGAGGCAAAAAAATTTTTTAGATTTAACATAACTTAGTCCAAAGTACAGGTCCCCTCAACATTCACGTTTTCCACTTTCGTGGGCTTCGAACATTCGCAAATTCCCAGCCGCCCAATCATATTTAAAACGTGTCATTACATATGTTAGGAATTGTGGCTGTGGCAGAGTTTGTTTGGAGATAGGACAAGATAGTCCTTCAATATGACACTAATATCAACTCTACAGCTTATTTCTCTATCACAATTCATCTAATATGACATAATAAACAATATTAATAACATAGAAACATGACATATACTCTAGAATGAATAAAACATGTCATTAAGTATGTCACGAGTGTTGCTGTGTTGTAGTTGTTGGGTGTACAAGGGCCACTGGAGGCGGCGGCATCAGAGGAGGAAGAGACGAAAGACAGCGGTGTTGTCAGTCGCCCTCTATAACTCCAACAACATTGGAGGAGTTAGGTTCGTACTGTCTTTCTATTGATTAATCGCTTAACTTACTTGCTACACTGTTAATGCTACACTTTATCGCTGGCTGGCGCTATAGCCTTTATCAACTCGTGCTGCTTTAGTATCATACATATTGTAGAATCACTGAAGAAGGCACATTCTCCCCTCTATCTTCCTTCTCCACTTTGGTACTCTGCTACGAGTTCTTTCTTGAATTCTATAGTTTTTCTCACCTTCTTCACCAAAGGGCTGGCACTAGTACAATATTTTACAATGTTTTCATATATTTTATGATTGTTCATGGTTCAATGGGTTAAGGAAGCAGTATTGTATTATATTTCCCTACAATATATTGGGGCAACAAACATTTGTGATTTTTCAACATTCGCGAGGTTCTTGATCCCCTAACCCTCGCTTGTATAGCTGCGGACTCAGATATACTTTGGAAGGGGGTACATGGCCAAAAACAAAAAGTTGGGGAACCACTGTCCTATGCAATGCCCTGAACAAGTAATAAGGTGGCTGTATTGAAAATGGAAGAATTTGGATCGTGCAAGTTCGTTTCACCCTTTCACCATCTGTCACATAGATCTACATTACTGACGTTACACTACATCGTGCAGATCTAAGTCATGAGTTGAGCTCACTCAGAAAAACTGGCCTAGATACGAGAGAATGGGTCTGCGCGGTGAGTAAGCATAGTATAATAAAAATCCTGCCTCATGCAGTGCATGATAGGAAAAGCAAAATTCTGACCTTAGTATTTGGTTTAAAATAGCGAATGTAAGGTGTTTTCAAGGATGGTTTTTATAGTTTTATTGGCTGTTCTTGGAAGTATTTGACACAGATGATTCTGGTAGGTTCCAGGACCAGAAGCCTAAAATCAGTCTCAAAATAGACGAAATATTAAATTTTTGGTGATTGTCTCGGGCCTGTTTTATGGGTTTTTAATAGTTTTGATTCAATTATTGGAATGCTATAAACCACGACCAATCATTCCTGGTTACATTTTATTATCTGAGAAATGGGTAAATCTTCAGTTTTTTGTGATGAATGCAAAATGAAGGGCAAGTGTAGTAATGGAGAGGCCTTGGAATGTGAGTAATGAAAAGAGGAAATGTTATTTTAGTGCCTGGAATGTCTACAGTATATATTTTGGTCAAACTGAGCAATGGAACTGGCTTCAAATAGCACAAAGTCAGCAAAATTCCTGTTGTATAAACTGCGCCCAAATGGATAGGGTTTCAGGGGTCAATGCCCCCACGGCCCGGTCTGAGACCAGGCCTCATTAACTATGTGCCTGTATAATTCCATAATGTTTCCATAAAGTTTCATGCTTTTGGCATCACTGCCTTCAGAAAGAGAATCTCTACTATTTCTGATTTTTTTTTTTTTTTTTGAAAAAAAAAAAAAAAAAAAAGGTGGACACTGAGCACTTAATTTTGGAGATCTGGACAGTGAAAGGGTTAAGAATGCTATACAATAATACTGTACTTTTCATTATCTTACCAGTAATATTTCGTCCAATAACTTTTGTCCACCTTGGTGGCCATAAGGAACTTCATAAGGAAAACCCCAGTCCCTCACCAGAAAGTGTAATCTCTGAGGGATAAAAAGAAAAAAAAAAAAAAAAAAAAAAGAGCCTCCATTAGGCCACACACATATAGTTGAGTACATACAAGTGAGTGCAATGTTATACTTCTCAATCACTTCATCCTGTCTTCCTATACATGAGAAAAAATAGGTCTTACCGAGAACAATGAGAAGAGTACAATATATTGGTCTGAGTTTTTATATCACCTTTAGTTTTGCTCAAAATGTTGTATGTACTATGGTCTTTACAGCACTACTGTACTCATCAAATTTTATGTATAAAAACTCATAACCAATTTGCACCAAAGTTGTGTAAATAATGATTAGCATTATTTCAGTATTATTTGGTATTAAAGTTGCTAGGAGATGCAGTACTATGAAAGTTTTCAATGCATGATAAATGAGGCATAATTTCAGAAGGTGACGCCATCTAGGAGGTACATCTCCAAGAATTCAGTTACCTTGAAGGTCTGCAAAGAATAGGATGACTATGTAACAATAATGCAGTTTATACATAAGCTGCTGCTTGCCTACTACTCCCTCAATTCACAAGAAATAAATACAAATGAGTAAGAATGTAATGCCAGTACACGTGTCTGTAAATGAGGGAACATGGATTACAAGCTAACTTTTTAAGGACTGGTTCATGTAACACTTAATAGCGGAGGCAGAGCACCACTGTAGGGAGTCTGACCTTATATCTAAGATATTATGCATCCTTGACAATATCCCTGGACAGCCTAAACACCATGAACAAATCAACCCCACTGTAAGAATCATCAAACATTTTCAAGCCACCACTGTGGTGGTAAAAAAAAAAAAACTCACCTGAAATGGGTGGGCACTATCACAATCTTCTTGCGCTAACATGCCATATGATGTGAACAATTGAAGGTTCATTAAATCGTCCTCCTGTATGTTGTTCATTAGATTATACACTAACACTGATGATACCATTGTTGTAAGAGCGAACACAGTAGTGGAATCTTTCATGGAGGATTGTATGTCAAAGGTTCCTTGAGTGTCCATCAAAATAACAGCAATCTGTGGATGACAATAATTAAGATGAACTGTAATTGAAGATATCAAACTAGAAAATAGTTACCTTAAATTTTTAAACCCAAGCAAGGCCTACGGATTTATATATTGTGACATAAGATGGAGCAGGAAGAGATACTGGAACAAGGTATCTCATGAGTGAGTATTATGTGATTGTAAGGTGATAATGAGGGTATGCACAAACTGACTACACTTACCTCTTCCCCAGATCTCTTTTTAATTAAGAAAGGTTCGCTCCAGATCAAAACACCCGTAGTCTCTCGTTTGGACCCTTGCCGCCATTTAAAACCTTGCAACGGTTGGTCTACATCACCAAGCCACTCTTGTGATTGCTGAAAATATAAAATACATTAATCAAGACACATATATGAGTTTATATCTACTCCAATATGACATATAGAAAGAACAATCACTTATGTGCTTTAAATAAAGTGTCCAAAAATTTGTTTTAGGTAAAGTATTTAATGAAGAAAATATTGGTTCAAAAACAAGTTTGCCTCAAGCAACCAACATTTATGGAAAAAAGACATGGGAATGGCCACACAAAAAAAGTTTGCTGAAGGTAGCCGAGAACAAGTCTCTGAAGAAAACTACTGAGTTTTAGTATGACTTCCTTGGTAAAACTAGACTGTATCAACTGTTGTCAGAAAACAGTCTAAGAACATAAGAACATAAGAAAGGAGGAACACTGCAGCAGGCCTGTTGGCCCATACTAGGCAGGTCCTTTACAATTCATCCCACTAACAAACATTTGACCTACCCAATTTTTAATGCTACCCAAGAAATAAGCTCTGATGTGCAAGTCCCACTCAAATCCAACCCATCCCACTCATGTATTTATCCAACCTAAATTTGAAACTACCCAAAGTCCTAGCCTCAATAACCCAACTAGGTAGACTGTTCCACTCATCTACTACCCTATTTCCAAACCAATACTTTCCTATGTCCTTTCTAAATCTAAACTTATCTAATTTAAATCCATTACTGTGGGTTCTCTCTTGGAGAGATATCCTCAAGACCTTGTTAATATCCCCTTTATTAATACCTATCTTCCACTTATACACTTCGATCAGGTCTCCCCTCATTCTTCGTCTAACAAGTGAATGTAACTTAAGAGTCTTCAATCTTTCTTCATAAGGAAGATTTCTAATGCTATGTATTAATTTAGTCATCCTACGCTGAATGTTTTCTAACGAATTTATGTCCATTCTGTAATATGGAGACCAGAATTGAGCTGCATAATCTAGGTGAGGCCTTACTAATGATGTATAAAGCTGCAGTATGACCTCTGGACTTCTGTTGCTTACACTTCTTGATATAAATCCCAGTAAATCTATTTGCCTTATTACGTACGCTTAGGCATTGCTGTCTTGGTTTAAGGTTGCTGCTTACCATAACCCCCAAGTCCTTTTCGCAATCTGTATGGTTAAGTTCTACATTATTTAACTTATAAGTGCTAGGGTTATGGACACTCCCGAGCTTCAGAACCTTGCATTTATCTACATTGAACTGCATCTGCCACTTTTCTGACCAAGAGTAGAGTTTGTCTAAATCCTCCTGAAGTTCCCTAACATCTACGTTTGAATCAATTATCCTACCTATCTTCGTGTCATCGGCGAATTTGCTCATATCACTAGCAATTCCTTCATCAAGATCATTGATATATATTATAAACAACAACGGGCCCAAGACTGATCCCTGTGGAACGCCACTTGTTACTGATCTCCACTCGGATTTAACCCCATTTATGGACACTCTTTGCTTCCTGTCTGTGAGCCATGACTCGATCCACGAGAGCACCCTCCCCCCAATGCCATGAGCTGCTAGTTTATTATGCAGTCACATGAGGTAGTAGGTTGGTAGACAGCAACCACCCAGGGAAGTACTACCGTCCTGCCAGATGACTGTGAAACAAAAACCTGTAACTGTTTTGCATGATGGTAGGATTGCTGGTTTCTTTTTCTGTCTCATAAACACGCTAAGATAACAGGGATATCTTGCTACTCCTACTTACACTTTGGTCACACTTCACAGACACGCACATGCATATATATATATACATACATCTAGGTTTTTCTCCTTTTTCTAAATAGCTCTTGTTCTTTTTTTATTTCTTCTATTGTCCATGGGGAAGTGGAAAGAATCTTTCCTCCGTAAGCCATGCGTGTCGTATGAGGCGACTAAAATGCCGGGAGCAATGGGCTAGTAACCCCTTCTCCTGTATACAATTACTAAAAAGAGGAAGAAGAAAAACTTTATAAAACTGGGTTGCTTAAATGTGCGTGGATGTAGTGCGGATGACAAGAAACAGATGATTGCTGATGTTATGAATGAAAAGAAGTTGGATGTCCTGGCCCTAAGCGAAACAAAGCTGAAGGGGGTAGGAGAGTTTCAGTGGGGGGAAATAAATGGGATTAAATCTGGAGTATCTGAGAGAGTTAGAGCAAAGGAAGGGGTAGCAGTAATGTTAAATGATCAGTTATGGAAGGAGAAAAGAGAATATGAATGTGTAAATTCAAGAATTATGTGGATTAAAGTCAAGGTTGGATGCGAGAAGTGGGTCATAATAAGCGTGTATGCACCTGGAGAAGAGAGGAATGCAGAGGAGAGAGAGAGATTTTGGGAGATGTTAAGTGAATGTATAGGAGCCTTTGAACCAAGTGAGAGAGTAATTGTGGTAGGGGACTTGAATGCTAAAGTAGGAGAAACTTTTAGAGAGGGTGTGGTAGGTAAGTTTGGGGTGCCAGGTGTAAATGATAATGGGAGCCCTTTGATTGAACTTTGTATAGAAAGGGGTTTAGTTATAGGTAATACATATTTTAAGAAAAAGAGGATAAATAAGTATACACGATATGATGTAGGGCGAAATGACAGTAGTTTGTTGGATTATGTATTGGTAGATAAAAGACTGTTGAGTAGACTTCAGGATGTACATGTTTATAGAGGGGCCACAGATATATCAGATCACTTTCTAGTTGTAGCTACACTGAGAGTAAAAGGTAGATGGGATACAAGGAGAATAGAAGCATCAGGGAAGAGAGAGGTGAAGGTTTATAAACTAAAAGAGGAGGCAGTTAGGGTAAGATATAAACAGCTATTGGAGGATAGATGGGCTAATGAGAGCATAGGCAATGGGGTCGAAGAGGTATGGGGTAGGTTTAAAATGTAGTGTTAGAGTGTTCAGCAGAAGTTTGTGGTTACAGGAAAGTGGGTGCAGGAGGGAAGAGGAGCGATTGGTGGAATGATGATGTAAAGAGAGTAGTAAGGGAGAAAAAGTTAGCATATGAGAAGTTTTTACAAAGTAGAAGTGATGCAAGGAGGGAAGAGTATATGGAGAAAAAGAGAGAAGTTAAGAGAGTGGTAAAAGCAATGTAAAAAGAGAGCAAATGAGAGAGTGGGTGAGATGTTATCAACAAATTTTGTTGAAAATAAGAAAAAGTTTTGGAGTGAGATTAACAAGTTAAGAAAGCCTAGAGAACAAATGGATTTGTCAGTTAAAAATAGGAGAGGAGAGTTATTAAATGGAGAGTTAGAGGTATTGGAAGATGGAAGGAATATTTTGAGGAATTGTTAAATGTTGATGAAGATAGGGAAGCTGTGATTTCGTGTATAGGGCAAGGAGGAATAACATCTTGTAGGAGTGAGGAAGAGCCAGTTGGGGAGTGTGGGGGAAGTTCGTGAGGCAGTAGGCAAAATGAAAGGGGGTAAGGCAGCCGGGATTGATGGGATAAAGATAGAAATGTTAAAAGCAGGTGGGGATATAGTTTTGGAGTGGTTGGTGCAATTATTTAATAAATGTATGGAAGAGGGTAAGGTACCTAGGGATTGGCAGAGAGCATGCATAGTTCCTTTGTATAAAGGCAAAGGGGATAAAAGAGAGTGCAAAAATTATAGGGGGATAAGTCTGTTGAGTGTACCTGGTAAAGTGTATGGTAGAGTTATAATTGAAAGAATTAAGAGTAAGACGGAGAATAGGATAGCAGATGAACAAGGAGGCTTTAGGAAAGGTAGGGGGTGTGTGGACCAGGTGTTTACAGTGAAACATATAAGTGAACAGTATTTAGATAAGGCTAAAGAGGTCTTTGTGGCATTTATGGATTTGGAAAAGGCATATGACAGGGTGGATAGGGGGGCAATGTGGCAGATGTTGCAAGTGTATGGTGTAGGAGGTAGGTTACTGAAAGCAGTGAAGAGTTTTTACGAGGATAGTGAGGCTCAAGTTAGAGTATGTAGGAAAGAAGGAAATTTTTTCCCAGTAAAGGTAGGCCTTAGACAAGGATGTGTGATGTCACCGTGGTTGTTTAATATATTTATAGATGGGGTTGTAAGAGAAGTAAATGCGAGGGTCTTGGCAAGAGGCGTGGAGTTAAAAGACAAAGAATCACACACAAAGTGGGAGTTGTCACAGCTGCTCTTTGCTGATGACACTGTGCTCTTGGGAGATTCTGAAGAGAAGTTGCAGAGATTGGTGGATGAATTTGGTAGGGGTGTGCAAAAGAAGAAAATTAAAGGTGAATACAGGAAAGAGTAAGGTTATGAGGATAACAAAAAGATTAGGTGATGAAAGATTGAATATCAGATTGGAGGGAGAGAGTATGGAGGAGGTGAATGTATTCAGATATTTGGGAGTGGACGTGTCAGCGGATGGGTCTATGAAAGATGAGGTGAATCATAGAATTGATGAGGGAAAAAGAGTGAGTGGTGCACTTAGGAGTCTGTGGAGACAAAGAACTTTGTCCTTGGAGGCAAAGAGGGGAATGTATGAGAGTATAGTTTTACCAACGCTCTTATATGGGTGTGAAGCGTGGGTGATGAATGTTGCAGCGAGGAGAAGGCTGGAGGCAGTGGAGATGTCATGTCTGAGGGCAATGTGTGGTGTGAATATAATGCAGAGAATTCGTAGTTTGGAAGTTAGGAGGAGGTGCGGGATTACCAAAACTGTTGTCCAGAGGGCTGAGGAAGGGTTGTTGAGGTGGTTCGGACATGTAGAGAGAATGGAGCGAAACAGAATGACTTCAAGAGTGTATCAGTCTGTAGTGGAAGGAAGGCGGGGTAGGGGTCGGCCTAGGAAGGGTTGGAGGGAGGGGGTAAAGGAGGTTTTGTGTGCGAGGGGCTTGGACTTCCAGCAGGCATGCGTGAGCGTGTTTGATAGGAGTGAATGGAGACAAATGGTTTTTAATACTTGACGTGCTGTTGGAGTGTGAGCAAAGTAACATTTATGAAGGGATTCAGGGAAACCGGCAGGCCGGACTTGAGTCCTGGAGATGGGAAGTACAGTGCCTGCACTCTGAAGGAGGGGTGTTAATGTTGCAGTTTAAAAACTGTAGTGTAA